CCTCCAAGTAAGCCGGTTTCAGACGGTCAATGCTGACGGTGTCCTCGCGGCCGTTTTTGTCCAAGACAAAGAATTTATCAGAACGTTTAATTACCTTATAAGGTCCGTCATATGGGGGTTCCAGGGGTCTGCGCACAGAGTCGCGACGAACAAATACATGTGAAGAAGTTTTCAAACACGGATGAACGAAAACATCAATGGACTGTGGGCGAAGGGGAGCAGGTTTAACTGAACGCATTGCGTTTGTAAGCCTGCTGACGTATGAAGCGTGATCTACCACTGGTGGGAAGCTCGAGGGAGAAACAAATTCACCAGGCAGTCGCAGTGTCGTGCCATATACTAGCTCGGCGCTAGTACAACCAGCATCGGTTTTCAAGGCGTTTCGTATCCCTAGGAGAACTAACGGGAGGGATTCAGTCCAATGGGTGGTGTTTGCAGCTGACAGACCAGCTTTCAGCTGTCTGTGTAGACGTTCTACCATACCATTAGCTTGAGGATGGTAGGCTGTTGTTCGAAATCGCATGCAACCTAATATTTTAGTCAGGGCAAAGAATAAGCCACTTTCGAATTGCCGCCCGCGATCAGTTGTTATGGAAGATGGGCATCCAAAGTTAGCAATCCATCTTTCTACGAAGACGCGTGCGACTGTTTCAGCAGATACGTCCTTGATGGGTACTGCTTCCGGCCATCGTGTGAAGCGATCTATGCAAGTTAAAATATAAGTATATCCATGTGATTCAGGAAGGGGACCAACCAAATCTATATGGACGTGTTCGAAACGAGCGTCAGGGAGAAGAAAGGTGCCAAGTGGGCTTTTGGTGTGTCTTATCACCTTGCACTTTTGACAAGCTAAGCACGTTTGTGCCCATTCCCTTACTTCTTTATTAATGCCAGGCCAACAAAACCGACTAGTTACGAGCTTGACAGTAGTGCGAATACCTGGGTGAGATAAGCCATGCAACGTATTGAAGACGTTACGGCGATAGCTTTTAGGCACGATGGGGCGAGGAGTACTCGTGGAAATGTTGATGAAAGCAAGAGTAAGAGTAAGTACGTGGAATGTCCGTACAATATATGGGACTGGAGAAGCTGGTAAGGTGGTCAAATAGATGCGAAGATATTTCCTGGAAGTACTGGGTATCTGCGAAAGCAGATGGAATCGATATGGATCATCGAAATTGGAGAATCAGTAATCTACTCCAATCTGGTCATCCAAACGACATCCATGATCACATTGATGCAGTGAGTAACTAGAATGATGTCACTGGTGTCAGCCAAAGCTCAAATGCAGTGGGAACCAATTTCCTCCTGCCGGATAATGACAGCAACATTCAACTCGAAAGGGAGGAAGGGAGGTCACAATTATCCAGTGCTACGGAGAATGCTACAAACAACGCAGAACAAGAGAAGAATGAAGATTTTACGAACAAATACAAACAGTAATGGACAATATCTCAAATGGCGACATCGAAATCCTCAAGGGCGATATGAATGCAAGCAGAACTGGGAGCAGATAATATAGAAAGAGAACTCATCATAAGTCGAGAGAATTATTCGCAAATTCCTGCTCTTTCAACGATTCGGTGATCGGAAGCAGTGTGTATAAGCACAAGGATATACACAGAGCGACGTGGATTTCTCTCGATGGACACACCTCGAACCCGACAGACTTAGTATCAAAGTTACTTAAGGAAGTGGAGACGCAGTGTGCTGGATACAATGTCAATGAAACAAATCAAACAATGAACTGATCATTTTAAAGGACTCAAATCGCAACTCTACGCATCATCATCACAGAAGAAAGAATTGAATGCAACTTAAACCTCACTCCACCCCGAGTGCATCGACTTATAGATGTCTTTCGACAGACAGCACTGACCACACTGAGAAGTAATTTGGAAACTACTTCAACAAAACGGTGCATCTACAGTCTCTACCAACTTCATCCAACAGCAAGCTATATGACAATGCTACGTGTCAGGTGATCCACAACATGAAAGTCAGCGAGATGTTCGAAGTTAACACAGAAGTAAGACAAGCTGGTTGTCCATTATCACCGATGATATTCGTAATTGAGGGGGACTAGATTATGCGTCAGACTGTGTTTGGGGAGCGAGGAGGGATTTGAAAGAGGTTACTAACTTCACTTATTCTCCTAGGAAGCATCTTTTCAACTACGGCCACGCCGAACGGATGACTACATCAAAGTCAGCCAGCCAACCAGCCAGAATCGGAGAGGCAAGATACGCACGCCTTCAATAACCTGAAACCAGTATGGAAATCGTATTCTGTCAATCAGTCGGCATAGAGAACAAGATTTGGAATTTACACAGCAATGTGAAGTCGGTCAGTTATTCTTTGCGAGTCAGAAACCAAGTGTGACACAAAGGAATTTCCAGCAGGCTGCAGACTTGCATCAACAGCTGCCTTGGCTGGCTCCATTCTGAAGATTAAATGACTGGCTGGACGGAAAGAATAAACAACAGGAAACTGTGGGAACAAACCAACACGTGAGAGTCGATCGCCCAAGAAATATGTAGGTGAACGTGGAGGTGGATCGGGCACACGTTGGGTAGGCCGCCAAATCACAACGAACGCCAGGCCCTTGAGTGGAATCTAAATGGGATGCGACGAGTGAGTTGTCCTAGGGTGATATGGAGGAGATCGTGTGAACAAGAGATGAGAGAGTTTGGTCAATCGTCGACCCACCTGATGAGAAAGCAGAAAACAGAACAAAGTAGACATGCGTTGTTAGAGCCCTATGTTTCACTCGAAACGCAAGGGAATAAAAATAATGGTGTGCTTAAGTTCTATTCTTATATCAGTAAGTTGTTGGTTAGTTCGTTGCCTGCTAGAATTCCTTGTGGCTAATACTCAGAAATGAGTTGAGAAGGAGACGGGTGTTGTGAGAAATGTTCAGTAGCCTGTTAGAAATGTCTTCCACGATGTCTGTTCGCAGTCTTCAAATCATAAAGAGTAGTACATTCCAAATCCAAAATCCTGTTACTTATCCGCTCATACCGTATAATAAGTGAATTCAATTATTTACCTTCCTACTGTGTGGGAAAAGTTTTCGAAATTTGATTAGAACGTGAATAGGGTTCGGTGTTGTAATTTCTTCATGAAAGATCTATGTAATATAACGTAATGCTACCTACCATAAAAAGTTGTACATGTACCACAGTTATAATTCACGGATCATTCGTTTGTGTCTCGAGAGGCTGAAGTGTCAACTTGCTAGACTTGTAAACTGAAAGTTCCTGGATTCAATCCTGATCGTCAAATGACATCACGCGCCAGGCACTCGAGTGGAATCTAAGTAGTAAACGATGATTGGGACATCCTAGGGTGAAATGGAGGAGATCGTGTAAGGAGGAGATAAGAGATCGCGGGCAACCATGGCTCAAGTTTATGAGGACGACAGAAGATAGAAAAAAATGGACATGTGTTGTTGAAGCCCTGTGTTCCACTCGGAACTCAAGGGAATAATAATGTTAATGTTTAAAACTAGGGTTGAGTAATCCAAATAAAAAGTTCAGGAAAATTAGGTTGGTACGAAACAGCCCAGAGATGGTCGTCAAAATATGCATTATACGATACAAAAGATTACTTGAGGAAAAGTTTCCTGAGGAAATCCTCATTGAAATTAGTCCAAATGCCCGCAAAACACTCAGGATATAATCAACAGTCTCTAGCTCATGGATGCTGACTGAAACAATGTCCTGAAGCTTCAAGGAAAAGTCGTGACCGATGATGACCACTGGCGTTGATTAAGGTTAGCCCTCAAATATGATGTGACAAAAGTTACAGTTAATGGGCAATTAGATTCTGGTACAAGTGTCTGAATAGCCAACTAGCCTCACCTTGTAAAATAAAGGGCGTAGGATCAACCCCTAGTAGATTGGTAGTCAGGTTCTGTTGAAGGGAGTCCCAAATCAAAACGAAATAGCTGTCCAGTACGTCGGTTGCACAGTGGTTAGGACTCTCGCCGACCATGCATATGGTCCGGGGTTCGAGCCCACGCCGACGCACACCTGATATCTATGGTCGGCCTGCGAAATTTGGGCTACCGATATGACATGCTGAAAATTCCATACTTGTACCAAAAATACAGTGTGGAATCAAGCTGTAATCAAAAATAAAAAATAAAATCTCAGTTTTATCGATCTCTAATTGACGTTTGATCGTGGTGAAATCTACAATTAAGTTTTAATGAATGTCAAGCCAAAAATGAAAAAGAAGTATTGATAAGAGAATTTCGGAAGTATTTAGGCTAAGAATTATCCTCAAAGTCAAAGCACTGACTGGTGCATTATTTTCTGTGTGTGAATTAGGGATTCCCATCCAAATCAATGTCAGTGGCCCCACCCATTCAAAATATGCAGAAACATACTGGGACTCGATTTAATGGACAGCCCATAAATTCTCACTCCTACCAATTCGTGATTTAGCGTGACCACCAAACAATGTCATCGGTGGGAAATCCATCCTCACACTTCAGTGGCTGGATCTCACTGGTTACGACTTCTCATTAGAACTCCAGGAAACTCCGTCCTGTAGCAAGTCACTAAGCGAGCATCAGATTAATTTTCGATAGTTAGTTTGTAAGGATTCGATATGTTTTCACGGGTGCGTACTGCCGATGTTCCCAGAATCTCGGATGAAACAGCTGTCCAGTACTCCTTGGTTTCTATTGGTTCTCTAAATGATATCAATCCAAGGTCAAACTCTTAAAAACAAGTCTAATCCACACAAACAAACTTTTGAAAAACATACACTTCAAAGGCGACTTGACTCCACAGACATTTGAATACCATCGGCTGAAGTTCATCCAGTGCACATAACATATAACGTTGGTTAGTGTCTGCTCTTCGATCGCTCAAATCGAAAAAGGAACGAAGTTCATTCATTTGGTTGAATAGAGCATTCGGCTGACCATAGTTCAACAATAACATAACATCAAACACAACACATCAACTACCACTAAATCTAAACGAAAACCAATCACATGGAAGCAGACACATTTTGTAAATAAACCGCATTATATACACACAAGTCTGGAATTATTTAAATCATTCCACAGAATATTGAATCACATTTCTAAGCATACACAGTTAACGTTTCTTCAAAGAATCAAGTAGACTGTCAGTCTCAATTTATACTCCCTTACAGTTTGTTCAACAATTTCGTCAATCGGAACAAATGAGAAGGCATTGGAAAGATGGAACCTTTGTCAATAAAGATGACCCACAACAAACATCAGATTATGATCCTTTCCGACTAATACAAATTTTGACCAGGAAAATAACGCCATCACGGATTTTATTTATACTGAATGTGAGTTCTGTTTGTGTATATATATTTACTAACTATCTTAACTGCTCCATATTCTTACTGTTATCAGCGTTATGAATTCCTTGCGTTACGACAGGAATACAGTGTTTCATCAGCACATCTCAGTTTCCCCTTTGCCCGTGACAATTTTCAAGTCCTTCCACGATTACCGACAATAATTCGCTACCTAGCACGATCATTGTTCTTGACTACAGCTATTATTATTAGTGATGTTTCTATTACTTTGCGTTTCAGTAGAACACGGGGCTTCAGTGTAATACTCTATTTCATCGTGTTCTCTACAGAATAATTTTTAGTTGTTTCTACATCTGTCCTTAGGCTGTCCTCCATGTCATCACTTAACTCTCACTAAGTGCATCAACAAATTCATTTTTCACCCATGGCCCAGTTGGTGTGTGACGCCACTGTGTGATCTACTCAGAGTGTTTATCCAATCCAGGAATTTCCGTTATCCTCCATCAAGTTGTAGAAAGTAGGTTCTCGGTTGGTTCCATGTCTACCAGAGATCCCCGTTACTCATCCTTTCTGGTGGACCATCTGATCTCCAGTACAGAGGCATAAAAAGTAAGTGTCAGTAGAATCTGTGATTTCCTCTTGGAAATCCCTTTCTCGACCTGTGCGCTAATCACTTACTGACTTGATATTACTGTAAAAATTCGAGTATTATTCTTTATTCTGTATCCCCTATATCTCCATACTTAGTTCAGATTATTGACTAGTTGGATTGTGATCATAGCTGATGTTATTGTTGTAGAAAACACTAAACAATTCGTTATAACTCTACCACTGGTGAACCTTCCAAGTACCTTATATATATACTACAGAGAATGCATATTAGACGCACGTGTATGTGCTAAGCAAAAATATTCACGATTGAATTTCGGGTAATGCAGTCGATGTTAAGAATTCCTAGGAATTTAGCTTCCATCTGTAACCAAAAGATATTGAGGTGAGATGCATTATGACACCTCACTGTGACTGGCTACTGAGTAACTAAGTTTTCAACATAGAACTGCTATGCACAAAAATGTATCAATTCATGTTGCTACACCATATATAGCAGACGAAGGTAGGGAAAAGCGAAATTTCAAACGATCTATAAAGAGTTGAAGTGAACGCGAAAGAGAATTACTGCACGGAGGACAGTGTGAAATTGACGAATCTAAGCGTTAATCAAGCGTGAATACATCTGTTCCAATGAGAAAGATCTTGAGCCATATCACACCAACAGTCACAAGCTCTGTTTTCCTAGAGTATAAAAGACCACCTCTTGTCAGTCAGACAGCTTTCATATCCACCAATATTTTCCCAACTTAATGGGATATTAGCTAACAGCATTCTCGGAGGAAAGCGATGCGTCAGCAAACATAATCATTGTAGATGGACTGCAATGGATGATCTCCTCGCTAGGCTTTGGTTTAATATGTGCGCTTTTAGCTTTCTAACTATCCACATTCAGTCATGTCCGAATCTCGTTTCAGACAAAAACCATGATGTGTTATATGAGATATACAATCGATGAATGTTTTTACATGAGTACTGATGACGCATTGATGAGTGAGGCTAAATGATTACCAGGAAAAATGATACCAAGAACTCTTCACAGTATGTGTGTGTGTAAATATTAATTCCCAAGATAAAGCTGATATTATTGTTATTGTTTTTATTTTATTTCTGTCAGGTGTTCGCAACTGTTGTTTTCCAGCTGGCGATAGCATTTGGTCTGACAGCGTTGGTTACACAAGTGTACGTTGTGTGTATATTAATGAAGAACTTCGCTTAAAAATTATTATCTATTTAGATACGATATCTCGTATTTCGCACTATCTTACAACATAATCCTCTACGTGATCAGGTAAGCTGAACTTTAGTTAATTTCATTTGTATCCTGTATTGTGATATAAATCGGTAATTCAATAATTGAATGTTTCTTAGTCAACTTGAGTGTTCCGAATTCGATTCCCACCTACTGACGGACTCCTATGAACTTCGCACAGTTACTTGCCGGAGAGAAGATAGTAGTCCTAGTAAGGAAGGAAGGCTAATTTGGCTAAGAAGGCTAGCATCTACAACCCGCAGAAAAATGACACCATAATAGATACTGAAACTCTAAAGCTGTGTTCCATATAAGGAGAGGGAAAGAATGCGAAGGAACCGAAATATTTGGTCAATGTGTGATAGAAGCCATGGAATGAGATACAAATTAGGGTAGACAGCCGATAACAACTCAAAATTCCTCAAAAATTCAAGTGTAACCACATGAAAATGCACGGCTGAAATGTGATTTACCACTGGAAAGTCTGTGTGTGCACCGGTTTAATATTTGGATGCTGTGGTAATAGTACTAGTCACACTGTGATGGTGGGATACAGACAATGTGAGCCAATGGAATATGATTCTCATTCATTCCCACAGTTCAATTCAGTAATAGCAACAGAATATCTATGTATGTTTGTGTACTTCAACATTTTATTTCATATCGTTTTATGTAAACCGAAATCATACGCTCAGTGATTGTTTACATATATAGTGTGCTTTGATTAATGAAAAATATACCTTGGCTTCCGTATCTTGACTTCTGTTGTTGCAATCTGACAGGAATTTGACGGACAACATACTCGCCAGCTAACAAAAAAGTGGAAGGAAAGGGAGGTGAATAGAAAGGAAAGTGGAGAAATGAAAAATACACTACACTCTAATCAGATCTTTGAGTGGAAAGTGAGTAGGAAAGGATTCGGAGTTGGGTATTTGTCCGTGAGTGAAATATAGGAGAACATGCCAAAAAGAAGTGAAATCTTGTGGAAGGTCAAAGAGACATCTGAAACCGCTATCATGGAAGCAACTGAAATGGAGATATGCTCCTGAAGCTCTAATTCTACTCGGAATACAAAAAGTTGATGATCAGACTGACACATGTCAAAAATGATCTCTAAGATTTGTCGTGCGCCATTCCACAGAAATTATCAGAACTCAGGTATATATCAACTGTAGATTTCCTGACACACTGCACGTGTTAGTGCATACATTCATATATTACATTTGTTTCTCGTGTCTTTATAGTGCGATATACTTCAGCCTCGAATTCATATGGGCCTTCGTCAGACGAATATCCATGGTATTTCCCTGGAATCTTGTATATCTGTTGGTAATGGTAAGTAGAAGAGTTGAAGATTGATTTGATTTCTTTTAAGGAGCTTTCACCGTCAACCAAGATCACCCATCTCCGTGTTGACTGTTGATTGTAAAGAATCACCAGTCAACTTTGTTCAAAACCACAATATTTTACATTGCATTGCATTCCTTGCATGGAACATTAGGACGATTCCATGCTTTAAGCTTTGAAGTTTCAGTATTCATGCTGTTGTTGATTTCCTCTCTATAGACTGGAGTTGCTAGCCTCACACACCCTACTCTCTTCACTTCGGGTTGAGTAAAGTCTTAAGGATTGTATCTGTGGTCCGAAATCGAGAGCGGACCACGTGGTTAGGTGGTTTGCGAGATTTCTACAGACTGAGGAGCCAGCCAACTGAAGATATGCACTCTCTATTCACCAATAGCTTACCAAATGATCTACAGAGGAAATAACTGCATCGAACACTGATCAGAGTGCCTAAACAAATCCGCACCAACAGTTGCATTTGAAGAGTTGTATGAAAGAGCTATCTAAAAGTACTTTCTGATGGGATGGATTATCGATCTCTCAAGTGCCCAGAATGTCAGTTCCAAATTAGGACGATTAGCAAGAACATCCTGATCCCTTAAAGTTTATTTTAGAATTATGCGCATTCAGCATAGACTTTTGTTACCTTCAAAGTGCATTTGTACACAAACAAATGTCGACTAGGCTGGCTTAATTATCTGAAGATCCTATATATGGGTTCAAGAGAGTGACCTCCTGTAGAGGCATCGCCGAACCAGAAGGATGAATCCTCTGCCGAGTGCTCTTCTTAGTGGATCTCAATGATCTCTAACTGATGGTGTTGTTTTGTGACACAAAATATACACGAGAAATGCATTTAAATCCTGTTAACAGTTTTAACACTCTTTTATCTCTCCTGTTTGCTCCGCACCTACAGACAATTCTCTCCTCCATCATCATCGCCGCAGAATCACTGGCCTACTATGATGATGTCCCACTGATTGTTTTCGCATTCATATGGGTGATGTTACAAGTCGTTGTCTCGTTCGCCATATTCATTCCGAATGATTTCACTCAGACATGGTTAACACGAATAGTCAACGTTGTGTATACTGTGACGATATTGGGTGGTCAAATCGCCTTCTTTGTTCGAAAGCAGACTAAGGTGAGTTGGAGATGTATTTTTGTTCCCCTTCAGAAGCATTGATTTCTTATTGTGTAAGTTTTAGAACATTTCAGCAAATGTCATTAATTTGACCTTCTGCATTTGGATTTCGCAGGAATTCGACTGGTTTCCTGACTGAGCATAAAGTGCTTTTGGTTACAGGACCATTGAAAACCAGCACTTCGGTGTACTAGATAGTTAGTTGGCTTGTACTCCTACTTTGTAAACGTTCAGCAACCTATCACAGAACAAACGTAGACCCACCTGTCCATATGATGAACTCGATGACAAATCGGCCACCGGAATGGGAACCATTAGACCATCCCTTCTAACTTCTTCCAGTTTGTGATATAGTTCTACCACCACTGACCAATGCATTCGATGAGCATATTCACTCCATCCGTCATATTGTGAACCCTGATGACCGCAGTTCCTCACCGATACTGCTATAGAACATTCATCCAGTAACCATCACTAGGCCGGAGTTTGTTATTTATATGTATACTGCACTCCACGTCTTCATTGATTCTCTTTAACTGATGTCAGTTGCTGACAAAACCTCCATTGAAAAACAATGAAAGATTTCTCCATATTCCACTTTTCTTCTTCACATCAGGTTGCTTTACTTATCGCTGGAGCTGTTGGATTTCCATGCTCATGTTATGTAAGTTCATTTGTAATGCTATCAGTTTCCCTTCATTTCACAATGATATGGATTATATTTAACGCGTCAGTCACAGTTCTCTAATGTCTCAGTCGTGATTCGCGTGTCTGGAGCTAAACAAACGGCTTCGATTCCCCGCCACCGATGAAAAGTTGAATCTCGACTAGTCAACTAGGTGAATGTGGAGCGAATAAATGCCTTAAGGGTTAGATAGACATGAGGCTGAAAAACGCAGACTGTTAAGGAATGACACAGTCAGTCAAACACGAAGCTGAAGACTGAAGTCATATTTTTCACTCGGGAAGCTCAAAAGGAAAATAAAACCTGAAGAAATATAACTGAGTGTGCTTAGTATCTTCACATATCAGGTGTCTCAACCTATTATGGGAGACCAAACTGAATTATATTCTGCGATTCGTTTCCCGAATTCTCCGTATTAACGACTAGTACACCTACGCAAGGCTTTCACTGTACACACTGTCCACACGGATCACTGTATTACATCAGTTAACAAAGGAGGTAGTACATAAATATCCATGGTCGAAGTCAGTTAGCCTGCCTTTTCGTATTCTCCGCTTCCAATGGTAATACCACGCTCACAGTGACAATGGTCAACAGAGTGAACCACTGTGTGGTCTACACTTCCTCTGATCAATATCCAGATACCACATTCACAGCAGAGACGAAGTTAATAGGCATATGCATCAAGAGTCTTTTGAATCCATGCTGACACTTACTTCTTCAGCAATTAGTCACTGAGACGACTTCTAAAAGTAGGTCGAGCGGAAGTTAACACACTCAGCCAATTCACCCCATATTTTTAATCTACTAGTCTGTTTATTTTAGTCCTAGAGAATAAACCAAATTTGACAGCGGTGAATTGCGTCCCAAAAGTTTGAAGATTCTTTCTCAAGGTGTTCACAAGACTGTATTTTGTCAAAGTCTTCATCTAGGAAGGCGAAATCATTCTCATCATCCACGTCTACTTGCCTGGTCACAGGTCAAATCTCAAGTTGCTAAAATCAGTTAGTCTCGATTCGACTAATGTATCTTTGATGGCATTAAATGGAAGAGAGGAGAATGGCCATTCCTGAGGGACATCACGTGTTATCGTTATCTCAAGTGAACACTCTTTTTAGCCCAAGAATTATCATCATCCAGAATAATGTTTTTGCCCAAGGTTTGACAGAATAGTCGTCTGAATGGTAGCATTTCTACTCCATTTCATTGTCGCCAGCTCAATGTTTCCTATTTGAATTTCATTCCACCAACGACCTCACTGACCAGTGATGTCACTCAATGGTCTTCACAGTGTATGTCCAAAACATCAATCTCCACACACTGATGCAATTTTTTCGGGCACCAATATATTCGTTTGATCGATTCCAGACATCCTTATTGTTTATCCTTCCTGAATGGTCGAATAATTTTCACTGTTGAGCAAAGTCAACTAGTGGTAAAAACATCTTGTTAAAAGTTTCCGGCTAGAAACGCTTTATCTGCACCATATGTTGTCATTCTGACTCACTTGAAAATAATCGTCACTTCAACCCCAATCTTATCCCGTTACGCTGTGTCAGTATAAACACATTTCAGTTCTGGTTTTAGGTAGAGTCCACTTTACTTCTCCATTAAACAAAACTCTGTCGTTTATCTCATCAGCACTTTGTACTCTCTTCCGTTCTTTCTTTCATCGGCGTTGTCACATTTTCACTGAAACCAGTTACTTACAAAAGAAGTGAAATGGATATTTGGACAAGGCACATACTACTATCCCGAGAATAATATTGTCAAACCAGCTCGAAATATCTACGGTTATTGTTGGAGTTTATTTCTCACAGTGATGTGGATATATTCACCATTCGGAATGAGAAATGAAACTATTCAGTCGGGGAGGTAAAGAGAGAACATTTCACAGGTCACTGGAACTTCAGAGGACAAGAGGTCAGGGTTTATACAATTTTCTTTTGATTGTATTTCTTTGAAGGGTTTCATTAAATAAAAATATGTCTTTGAAAAGTTCGAAGTATTGTATTCTGGCTTCATTGGTTGCAAGGGGGTGAATCACCGTTTCGACAGCTGATTAAGGTTTCAGTTATTTGTATGGGCAAAGACCAGGTACAGCTGGATAGATGCACACACTTCAGTCATCAGCGTTACATTTTGTTGAGGTCAACGGCGAAAAGTCACCTGGATGAATTGAAGTTAGGTGTTGTAGAGATAAAAGGAAAGTAAGATGTGCGTATGTAAAATACACATGGTCTGGAAAACGTGGTGAAAGTGTTGATAAATCAGCTGTGCGTCGGTGGCACAGTGGTAATGACTCTCCCCGATCATGCACATGGTCTGGGGTTCGATCCTCTGCCAACGCACACCTGATATCTATGGTTGGTCTGTGAAATCTGGGCTACCGATATCACATGCTGAAAATTCCATAACTGTACCGAAAATACAGTGTGGAATCAATCTGTAATCAAAAATTTAAAAAAATAATAAGTCTAACAATAATAGTGATCATAATAATAGTTTTAGTATTATTATTATTATCGTGAGCAATACGTTTTCAATCAGAATCGAATTTTCAACGGTTGTACATACTGCAGAAATGCATCCCTCTTTGCGATAAAGTAAATACAAGAAATAGTGAAAAATGATACTAAAAAAATCGTAATAAATTGCTTTATTCAAAATCAATACTTACGATACAGCATGGAATTCTCACCACTCGCTAGAACATTGCATCTAATTTACTCCACAACGTGAAACACATTAAATGAGATAGGTAGATAAGACGGACAATGGCATCGTCTTTGCATTGGCACGGACAATAGATTCAGAAATGCACAAACAGTATAAAATGATGACGATAACAATAATGATAGAAACTAAATTTATAAAATAAGAGAAATAGTATCTTCATAAATTACAAACAGAAGATGATAGAAGCATCTCTCATAACACTTTCTCCATCACACAGAATGCGGGACAAATGTCGTATAACTGGCTTTAAGTATTCAGTTTTGCGAGCATGTAGTCTTTCATAGTGACTTCTATTCCAACCTGTTGAAATTCAAGCGGAGAATCGTGAATAATGAAGCTGCTGGAAGTCAGACATTGTAGCTGTTGTCTATTTCTAGCATCGGTTCAGATGTTTATCGACTACACAGCTGACTTAATGGGCACACTACCTGCCCTTCTGACAACCCTTGTTATCCTTCGAAATGTCATGCAGTCGCGGAACAATACGTAATGCTAAGAAGTCAATAAACTATAAAGGTGGAATTTGAGTAACACATGCTTTTCTTGGCTTCTTATTGCAGAAGGTTATGCGAAACAATTTCTTAGAAATCAGCGAGAAAAGTCGGAACAACGAAAAATTTCAGGGTACTTAACACTTTACTCATTGCGTATATCAGTTCCCCTTATGTAGATAATGCTCATGCCAGAAAATGAAGTTCACATTCTGATATTGAGAAGGATTTGACGTGAGATCATTTAGCCTACACCACCCACTGATTTCTAACAGAGAACTATTCATTTTGGACCATTCGGGTCAGGATGACACTGACAACGAGACAGTCAGATCGTCAGTAAATTTAACTGAATTGATTTATTCCAAAACAGACAAATCATGTAAAAAATGAGGAAAGAGAAGAGCAGAGACAGTAACACATTCGGAGACTCTAAATTCAGTAATTAAAGTAGGAGGAGGTTCGTCTTTATGAATGCATATAAACATATACATGTATATATTTATATATATGATATGCTGTTTTGTTTCTGGTGAAATAAGAATGCAATCAGCTATCAACTCATGACTTGGTTTGTGTCAAGGAAACGTTATTTGACAGAAGACACCTGGGTGTGGAATCAAAGCAGATATGTGACGGTATAGTCTTAAGGCCTTTCCATCTGGTGGGTACAGTGTTTATTGGAAAAGAAGTATTCAACTTGCTCATAAGAGGATTATTTGAAAGGTATAAAATGATAAAATAATGACATTTATTAAATAACAAACATTTGTCACATCATCGACTACAAATAGGAGGAGATGAAAGGGGCATATATATTTCGCTGCTTACATGGAAGGTTGTCAGTTTCAGGCTAAACACTTTCTGTGTCACATACACCACAGGCCGAACTGGGCGCTCAGTTGTGCAAGGATATAATCCTTCCAGTCAGCACTGACAGAGAGGGTCCCGAAGTAATGCGGCAGAAAATCCGATAATTCGTCTGCAAAGGTAGGCAGTTTCCAAAGAGAGCTATCAAGGATAGCGTAAATCTTAGAAACGAAAGTTTATTTATACTCTGATAAGTGTCTGCATGACATTTGACAATAATAATTATTATTATTGTTCCCTTGGGTTCCTAGTGCAACATAGGTCTTAAACTGCACGTCTGCACTTGCTTCTGTCTTCTGCTGTACTTTACATCTGCATCCATGTTAGACCATACTCTTTCAACTTCTCTTCACACGATCTACTCCATGTCACCCTTGCACTGACGTCCCACTCGCCGCTTCCCTTTCGGGTTCCACTCGAGCAATAGCCTGACGCGCGTGAATGTCAACCAGCGGCCTCCTCCTCCACCTTCTCCTGCATATTTGTTGGATGATCGGTTCTCGTTTTGTTCTCATAGTTCCTTGTCGGTGATTCTTTCCGGCCCGGCCATCTGATGTTCAGTATAGAGCGAAGACAGTTGTTAATGAAGGTGTGCAACAGACTGTTGGAAATATTCTTTGTGACCCGCCCGCAAAGTTTCTGATCCGTATAGAAGAACTGACTGACTCGACGTTTGTATTGAAAATCCAGCCGAATTTTGTTGTTGATACTGGCTGAGTGACGAAGATCTCCAGATCGGTTTTAGGTTGATGAATGGTGTTTCTCGCCTTCCCGATTCTCGCTCGATTTGACATCCTCGTCCGTTCCGCTCCTGTAGTTGAGACAATGCTCCCTAGATAAGTGAATGAATGAAGTAACCTCTTTCAAATCCCTCCCGTTGATGGTGATTGACGTTGGATGTTGTTGCTGTTGTTGGTTGGTTGGTTATTTTCATAACCTCCGTCTTGTCTATGTTTACCTGGAGTCCTGTCTTCGCCGCTGCTTCTTCGACCAGTTTGTCGGTTTTCGCTTGTAAGTCTTCGATTTTGTGTGACATCAAACATAAATCATCCACGCGCGAAATCCAGGTCTTCTAGGTTCTTCACGTCGGTCGTCCAGGATATCCCTGTCTTCTCGTTTCCCACTGTCTGACGCATAATCCAGTCCACCACAATTAGGAATATCATTGGTGATAATAAGCACCCTTGTCTGACTCCTGTGTTTACTCCAAACGCCTCGCTGAGTTTTCCGTTGTGGATCACTTGACATGTGCCGTTGTCGTACAGCTGTTGAATAAGGTTGATGAATATTTGGGGTACGCCATAGTACTCGAGTAATTTCCAAATTACTTCACGGTCAACGCTGTCGAAGGCCTTCTCAAAGTCTATAAAGTTGAGGTAGAGGTTTGATTGCCATTCCATGCTTTGTTCGATGATGATGCGTAGAGTTGCAATTTGGTCAGTACATGATTTGCCTTTCCTGAATCCAGCTTGTTCTGGTCGGAGTTCTGTCTCCAGTGCGTCCTTTAATCTCTCCAGGATGATGCGACTCAGGATTTTACTTGGCGTCGACAGGAGCATGATTCCTCGCCAGTTCTTGCAGAGTGAGGCGTAAGTCGCCCTTCTTTGGTAGTTTCACGAGGTAACCTTTCCTCCAGTCAGTAGGCACCTTTCCCTCCTTCCAGACCTTTTGCAATAATGGAGTCAGCATGTCTGCTGTAGTCTCTGGGTCCGCTTTCAGTGCTTCAGGGGGTATTCCATCTGGTCCGGCTGCTTTTCCAGCTTTCAGAAGCTTGATTGCGTTCAAGACTTCAGCTCTCGTTGGAGGATTGGTGTCAACTTGCAGTTGTGTGCGCGCTGTTGTTGGTATTTCTGGACGGGTTGCAGGTGATGGTCGGTTCAAGAGTCCTTTGAAGTGATCCGCCCATTGTTTAATCTGTTTTTCTTCCTTGGTAATGGGCTTCCCTTGGCTGTCTTTTATAGGTTTCGCTTGTGTTGGTCTCTTCCCGGATAGAGATTTGGTTATCTGATATAGTGTCCTCAGGTCCCTTTTGCCTGCTGCCTTTTCAGCTTCAGTAGCTAGATTGTCGTAGAATCGTCTTTTGTCCTTCCTAGCACTTTTCTTCACTTCTTTGTCCAGTGCTTTGTAAGTTGAGCTCATCGTCTCCTTCTCCTGTCCGTCCTTGCATTGAATCATTTTCTCTTTCACCATTCTCCTCTCTTCTATTAATTTCCAAGTGTCCGTTGAGAGCCATTCCTTGTCTTGTCTCTTCTTTCTTCCTAGAACCGTTGAACACGTTTCGTTGAGAATCGCCTTCAGAGACTTCCAATGTTCTTCCACGCATGATTCTTCAGTGCTGTCGCGTAGTGTTTCCTGCTTTGCTCTGACAGTTGCAGTGAAAGTGTCTTTTGTGGTTGTGTCCTTCAGTAATTGAGTGTTGAACTTGCATTGTGGCCTATCCCCAGCTATCCTCGAGGCTTTTAGTTTCACCTTGAAAGTCCCTTTTACTAGATAGTGGTCTGAACCCACATCTGCTCCTCTCCTTGACCTTGTGTCCAGTAGGCTCCGTCTCCACTTTCTTGAAATTGAGATGAAGTCTATTTGGTTCTTGGTGTTTCCATCTGGTGAAATCCATGTCGTCTTGTGTATATCCTTGTGTTTGAACACCCTGCTACCAATCACCAAATCATTGAAGGCGCAGAAGTCTGAGAAGAGTTCACCATTGTCGTTCATTTCACCGAGGGCCTCACGACCCATGGTGAGTTCTCTTCCTGTGTTGTCTCCTCCCAGCTTCGCATTCATGTCGCCCATCAGGATTTTGATATCGCCATTTGGGACGTTGTCCATTATTGCTTGTAGTTGTCTGTAGAACGCCTCCTTCTTCTCTTGTTCTGAGACGTTTGTAGGCGCATAGCATTGACATTGA